ACAAGTAAAGTCAATGGGGAAGCCAGCAGAAAGCTACAGTCATGTGAGGTCTTCACTTAATGACCCACATGGTCCTTGCTTAACAACAGCAGCTGGGAATGCTGGGACTGCCATTGCCAAGTGACATGGTCACGTGACATCGTTCTTTAGTGTTTTATTGCTTAGCAATGTCATAACCCAAGGACTACCTGTAAAGCAACTGTTTCAAGCAGGAATTCTGGATATCAACAAAGCAAATGGTCACCTTGTTTGGCTCAATGGTTTTTAGCACTGGGGAACACAAAACTATTTTGAGCCTACCCTGCCTAGCTCCCTGCAAGCAAATGCCCCAGGTGGAATAGCAGGATATTTGCAAGACATTTATTCTCACTAGCATGCAATGCCATCCCTCTGTTTGCAGTCCTGAGATAAAATGCCTGTTGTTATTCACAAAGCAGTTTCGTGCAAGACCCCAAGACCCAAAGTGAGGGGAAGGAGTTCTAATGAATAATGGATTAATGTCAGAGTTCTCTGTTGCCTTCCAGCTGAGATTCATTCTCATTGTCCACCCCACCCCACCCCTTCCCCACTATCTTTATGTCCATGGGGGGGGAAATTCCCAGTGGCTGACTTGGTAGATTGCTAAAGGGACGCTTTGAATGAATTTTAAATATACCAAAGAGCAAAGCACCATTTTTTTCCCCAGAAAAATCAAAGAGTAAAAAATCTTGCTCGAAAATAAATTGGAAAAGTGGTCAGCTTAACCCAAAAAGAAAGCCAAAGCCACCGAGCTAAGAGGAATAAAATTTTAAAAATTGTGCCAAGCATTGGCATATTTGGCTCTTACCCAGGGCCAAAGGATGGGAGGAAAATAAATTGGCTATCATGTAGCAGGTATCAGTTGTTCCTATCTGGGCATGATAATTACTGTCACATGACCAATTAATTTTCTATTTCTGCAATAGTTTTTTTTAAAACCATTTAGCAATCTTTACCTATTAAATTTACATCCTGGCTTGTCATCAAAAATTCTATTTCCATCTGCGCTTCCAGCAAATAAGTCATTAAACCGACATTTTCAACATTACAGGGAACTTATTAGGATCAAAGAACTGGACCCAAAGTATGTAGAGAGAAAGTGCTTGGGCTCAGTACCTTTTTCTGGCTTATTTTTTAAAAATGATGTATTAGCCAAGTAGGTGATAATCAGATAGGGTCCTGCATTAAGTGATAGGATTTCAGCAAAGGCCAGATACAGATTCAAAGAAAAACATGGGAGAAGAGGTAGTTATTTATTATTCTTTGTTTTCAACTCCTGTTTCTTTGCTCTGGAATCTGCATAATGTGTTATTCAAGATGATCATCCTTGTAGGCTACAGAATTTTTACACTGAGAAATAGACTCTTAGGAACTCTCTCTATATATAGTTATAAATACGGTTTCTATAAGTATAAAATACATACTCTTTTTTGCTAATAAAGTTGTTTTAATTTAAAATCTTTCTGCATCTGAATCCATCCCACATGTAACAGGTATCAGCTGTTCCTAGATGGCATTTGCTATCTGTTGCTGTCTTCTCAATTCTTGCTTTGTATTCATTTGTTCTTAAGGCTTGGTGTTATGCAGCTAGAATTAACCCTTCTGTCTCTTTCTTCAACTTTCTTGCTCTTCTCTATTCCCAGGTCTTGTTATCCGCTTTGCCTGCTAGATTTTTTAATGTATTGGCCATGAAATATTTAGCCTTGCCTTGTCTCTTTTCTGTTCTTCATTTGCTTTTTTTATAAGCCAATTTGGTCTCTCAAGTACTCAGTAAGTTTTCATAATGTACCAGCTTCAGTGCATTTTAGATATTCTTCATATGTCATGTTTTTCTGCTTCAGTTGCCAAGAGTACTTGCAAAATTCCACATTAATCTATTTTGATAAGTAAAGTTTGTCAACATCACTGTGTGGATGAAGGGCTTGATTCATTGTTATTATTTTTCCGGTCTTTTTATACAGCTTAGTTCTGCTTGAATCCAGTCCACTATTCCAACTGTGAGTCTAATGACTGAAATTGCCCAAGTGTTATTGCCTTGATGGTATTTCCTCCACTGAGTTAGACTTTCAGTTCTTCTTCACTCTCATGATCAGTGGTGGGTTGCCCCCGGTTTGCACTGGTTCTATAGAATTGGTAGTAAAATTGGCGGGAGGCTCCGCCCACTGACCCCAACGTCATCAGAATGCTTCTGCGCATATGCGCGCGGCCTCATTGCAAACCGGTAGTAAAGGTAAGTAGAACCCACCCCTGCTCATGATGTATTCATTTCTAACCATCTTCTTGATTCCAGTGTGCCTGATGTTGTCAGCTTGAAGGATACCCAAGTATTTGTAGTTATTGTCTTCATCCAGATGCTTGATGTTATTTCCATAGGACATCTTGATTCTTTCAGTTTTTATTATCAAGTAGGTTTTACTAAATGTTAAAATGTCTTCAATTTCACTTCCTTACAGTATATTGTGAAACTGCTTGGCAATAGGTGTGTGTAGACTAGTTAGATGTTTGTATCAAAAACATGCTATTCATCTTCACCCAGTGATGGCCAATTCTTGATTTTCCTTGCCCCTTTCTTCACCATTTCTGCCCTTATTTCAAATTATTTCATTTCAGCTTCTTCTCTATTCTTATTTACCTCCTTTTTCCAAGTGGATTCTTGTATGTCTGTGTTGCCTTATAGCTGTTGCCACCCAGAACTGCACAATGTCAGACGCTAACTGCTTTGTTACCATCCCTCCATTAATGGACTGGTAGAAACATTTCTGATTTAGCTGAAATTGGAGATTCTGCCTATAGTGTCCAATTTGAGATTTGTATTTGCTGATCTTCCTGGCTATAGCTGTCATTTACTGCTTTATTATTTCCAGTGCTTCTTTGATCTTCCTGGTTTCTAAGTGATACTTCTTGAACAGATATTTATTTGATCTTTTCCTTCAACTTTTTTTTCATCTGTTCTAGCTTGTTTGCATCTGATTTTAGCAAAGGTAAAGGTAAAGTTTTTCCCTGTCCAGTCATATCTGACTCTAGAGGGCAGTGCTTATTTCCCTTTCTTAGTCGAGCGAGCCATGGTTATTCGAAGACACTTTCCTGATCATGTGGCCAGTAAGACTGTATGGTGAGGTGCACAGAACACTGTTACAAAGTTGTACCTATTTATCTACTTGCATTTGCATGCTTTCGAACTACTGGATTGGCAGAAGCTAGGGCAAGAACACTGATCTTATTTCTAACCTGAGCTTCCATTTTGGTGGTGACTGCTTGGCTTTCCTGTTTATTGATTTTGCATCCAAGATATTCAGTTATAGCTATAGCTGTGCTGCATATTAGTTGGTTTGCTTCCTGCAATGATTTAGTGCTTATATTTGATACTTGTGCTATTTGTTTCTTTGGAATAAGTTTCAATGCAAGCAATTTTTTTCTGTTGTTTTTGTGCTGTTCTAGATGCTCAGTTTTAGTTAGAGGGCTTTGTTCTTTCTGAGGAGAAGGTAGAGGGGAAAGCAGTGGTGGTATTCAGCCGGTTATATCCGGTTTGGGAGAATCGGTAGCAGTGGCTGCGGGAGGCTCCGCCCACCCACCCGGACGTCATCACGTCCTGTTTTTGATGCGCAGAAGGTCCTGCGCATGTGCAGAGGTGGCGCGAGTGAGCAAAGCAAGTACGCGCGCTCACATTTACGAACTGGTAGCGAAGGTAAGTGAATACCACTCCTGGGAGAACGTACTATGTTTGGGAATGAAAATGATTCAATAGTTATACTGTTGTTGTTGTTTCTATTGCAAACTCCCCCTAGTTTGTCTTTACAGCCTGAGTTACTTCTGGTAAGGCTTTGATTTCTTTGCCCTGGGTAGACCTTTGCAGTTTTTCCAATTCTGATTCTGTGAGTACTTTATTTTATATTAAAGAATGACATTGGTGTACTAGCTTGTGTTCTATTATTTATGATTCTGGATGTTATTCTTTATAGAGCTGGTGCATTCTATTCTTCTTCTTGGACTTGATTTGTAATAACACATCGTTTCTTTGTTTTCAGCCTTTGTATATCTGCAAGCGGTAAACAACTTTTCTTCCAGTAGGCCTGCAGCTGCTGGCCTGGTTGTTCAGCCAACAGTTATGAGTCCAATAGCTGATTTGTCATTAGATGTCCAGGAACTCTAACATCTAGCATAGTCCTTGTTGACCCAGGTGATGACTGATGTGGTATGAGTTTCTATAAATTACATTTCATTATATTGTTTATGAGAGAAACACTATCTTCATCTGGTTCCTCTGATGAGACCTGTCCAATATCATTGAACTTCTGCCATAACTCTCATCTTCTTCAGAGCACACAAGCTCCACAACCAGGTCAAGGTAGGGCCTCACTGGAGGGATTACTATTATCGTTGGTTACACAGTCATCAAGATGTTTTGCATTTTTCTCAACCTACTGAGTCCTTCCCATAGACCTGGGATAAGCAGATGCTGTTGTTTGATGGTGTTAAAGGTATCAATCACAGGATGTAAGCTGTTCTAAGTAATATTATTATTAGAAATAGTAATAGTTGCTGATGATCATGATTTGCAACATCTAATTTAAAAACGAGGGGTGAGACGCAAGTATAGGATTAATGTCTTCGTTTTGTTTTAAAACGATCGTGATAATAATGCTACGATTACAGAAACAGCAATGCCTCTGAAAATCCAGAAGGTTGGAGATACAGATCAGACGATTTGAGCTAACGCTGCATTTTCTGATGAATAGCCCATGGATCTGAACAAATGCCTATCCAGATGCTCTTTTTAATATTAACAGAGCTTAACAGTCAGATGAGGGCAACCTTAGTCAGACATATGTTATGTTGAGTTCAACAAGACTTTCTTCTATGCCTGGGATTTCAATATTAGATTGTTCTCTTTTTATTCAGAATGCACTGCATTAATCACAGTGGAAATTAATTCTTGTATACCTTAGGTGCATGGTTCTGAGGTCTAAAAGTATGAAAAGTACCTTTTCACTGTACGGAGCAATGTGGACCGAGCCTCGTTGTGAAAAGTGATAATAATGCTTGTGGCCGGCAGGTCAGCGGTGTAGTGAACAGATGCACATCTGTAACAAATGAGAAAAAGAGTTTTCATCAGACAGAGCCCATGCCTCCATTTCTGGAGAGCTAACTAATCACAAAGAAAATCCCGATCCGGTATAAAAGCTCACCAATCCTGATACATGTATTTAGCACCCAACTGAATTTTGTTATCCTGCCAACACATTTCCCATACAACATATTTTATACGATTGCAATTCATCACATGCTGGCAGTGCTGACAACAGGCTTTAGCACACATTGGATTATAACTGCCAGGAACACTTGTTAACAAGCCTGTGGTTCCAATGCCATCAAGACACGAGATGGCACCTATTTATACCTTTTGCTGCATAATTGGTACAGGGGTGGGAAGAAAGAAACAAATGCAAATCCAGGATGGATTAAATCAGCAGGTGGTCTTAATTCTTCCACAAACCTAGCAGTTGATGATGAGGTGATGTGGCATGTAGTTACATGGCTCGGCAGCAACTGGGGAGAGTGGAGCTCATGCTCTTAGTAGCAGGATGTATGGAGCAGTTAAGCTGACATTATCCAAATCACATATATTCAAAAAGACTCTTATTAATATCTCTACCTAAAGGGAGAGTTGACTTCCATTATTGGCTTCTGATTTTTTGGATAATAACAGTGTGGATTCTTCCTCTTTTTGGTTTGAAGGGTTAGGGTAGGGTGTATGGAAAAACGAGAGCTACACTGCGATTAATACCTTCATGGCTCAGAAGAATTTTCTAATTATCGATCAATCAACAATATTCCATTTCTTAATAACATGACTGAGAATCTGGTAGTTTCACACTTCCAAATATGTCTCAATGAAAATGATTTATTATTACATTGCAATATGCATTTCACCACTTAGAATTGTTTTGGAAATTGAAGACATTAATACAGGTAGTCCTCACTTAATGATGATAATTAGGGCTAGAATTTTCATCACTATGGGACATAGTTATAAAGTGCAATGTCATGTGACTGCACCTCTTAGCAATGGAAATTCCAGCACTCCCATTTAGCGTTGATAAGTGAAGCACCATGGCTCTTTATGCAAGGACATCTTGTGATCACCCTGTGACTTCCCACCAGTTTCTCCATTGACTTTGTTTGCAGGAAGTTGACAAAGAAGGTCACAAATGGCAATCAAGTGGCCATGGGACACTGCAACCATAAATAGGTATGAGAACCAGTCTTAACTATCACTTGTTCAGCACCACTGTGTTTGAATAATCACTGACCAAGTAGACATTAAATGAGAACAAGTGTACCTTGATTAAGTATAGTTAATCCACAATATAGTACAAAGACTGCTTTAGTCACCTTAATGGACATTTTGTGCTAGAAAGAAGATGTGGGGAATGCACAGACTAGATTGGTCAAGGTCAGAAGGAAACAACATGAGACTGGACTGGTCTGTCACCACAACAATACACAAACTGACAAGCTTTCAGCCTGTTATAGTATACAGGCAGAAGAAAGAGATTCAGAATGGAAACTTTGAATCTGCTGTAATGGTTTGCAACCTGCACTCTGAAGATGCTGGATTTCTTCATTGATGGCTTTGAATACTGTTGGAAAGAAAAAAAGCTGGACAGGTGAAGAATCCTGTTCTGCATTGGTTTGTACTCTGTCGTGAAGGGCTGTTTCACAGTTTGGGAAAGCTCCTTGAGCTCCAACTGTCATTGGATTGACACCATTATAACAACTTTCAATGGGCAATGTCTTATTGTGCTTAGGGAGATGCCAATCCTACTAGCAAGGCAAAATCTTTAGTCAGAAAACCATGGCACAAATATTTCCTGATGGCCTGTATTTTCTGCCTTGCCTTATGATGTTGCCTTCATATGATTTCTTAGCTCATACCTGAGGCTGCCTTAGTTGTCCTTAGCTGTTTCAATGTAAAAATAGGTGGTTTTTTTCCCTCCTCATCTCAGTGCATTTTAAAATTATAGGCATAATTACATGGCACAATCAGGTGAATTGAAAGAATGGGATCAGTGCAGCTTCTATTGGCTATTCTAGGTTTGTTCAGTAATGGCCCCTCCTTTCTGATCCCTAGGCACTGTCATAGATGTGGCTGTTCTGATGTGATTAGTGGGAGAGATTGGATTTTTCACATCAGTATCTCCCGTGTCTACAAGGTTTCAAAACTGATCCTTGGCTCAGCGATCTGACTTGGAAAAAGGGATCAACCAAATTAACAACTGACAGACACTGAAAGGCTGTGATATACTGAGGGAGAGAAACATAATGCAGAAAGCAACTATATTAGCTTTTGCATAATACCCTTGATAGAGTGCTGTCCATCCATCCTTGAGTTAACAGAAAGCTATATCCACCATGAAAACTGCTGTCCTCTCTATTGTCCTCTATTGTCTTTGTTCTCAGTCATTGCCAGTTACTTCAGCCAAAATGGTCAGAAACCACGGACCTCAGAACTTCACTAAATGTCATCACTGACCGACAAAATTACATTTTAAAAATAGCTGAACTCTTACAAGCTATGCTCTCAGGAGCCTTTTGTGATTTTAAATTATTGTTAATTATGTGAAATATTTCTTACATTTTAAATTGTGGTTCTTGTGATATCACACGACAGGCTGAAGTGCTATTAACTGCCTAGCAATGATCCACATGGCTAAACCATGGTCTAGGATCAGTAGATCTAGCATGCATTATTTCATATCTGGCAAACTTCTCCTGTAGCAACTTATATTGGAAACAATTAGAATCTCTCAAAGCTTTGCATTGTAAGATTTATTTCAACATAAGCAGATCCTTATCTGAGAGCCTTTTCCTTTGTATACCTTGTGCAATGGTTCTTGAAAGAATCTCCAACTTGAACTTCAACTAGGTGCAAATCCATCCTAAATAGGCTACAAGTTCCCAAATACATACATACTGTAGTACCTGCATCTTCTATCACTGCTGTTTAGTTAAAATCCTAAGAATCAAATCATCACTTGCACTAAACATAACATGAACTTGTCCAACAAATCTTCCCTCCTCTCTTTTTGGCTATATCGTCATGATATTGCTTCATCTCACCCCTTACCCTTATACAAGACAGCCTTAACTATCTTTTGAGGCTCCAGTTTCATAGTAGTGATCCTGTTCTAAAGTACTGTTTTCTACCTCTTACTAAACCTATATTTAAAATTAGCTTAACTTAACAGCTGGCAGGGTGTGATGGATGGCAAAAGAAGGAGGTGCAGCCTCATTACCCAACACATAATGCTCCACATGACTGACTGTGTGATCAGAGATTGGGAGCTTTGAAGGAACCAGATAGCCCTTCCCACTCGGCATCTTCATTGAGCCTGGAGATCAGCTGCTGAGAATATATGCAAAGCCTGGAGTGAATTTTGACAGGAGATCGAGCCCATCAACATTTCTCTCCTGTCAAAACTGGCCTTCCTCCATCTCCAGTCACAGTCCTCATTATTAAGAGGGATTGATTGGTGTTTTCATCCCAGTTGGCGACAAGAGAGGAAGGAAACAAAGTTGAAGGAATGAACCAATTCATTTCCTTTTGGCAGTATCTCTGTGCAGCAGGACAGGGATAGGCAATGGGATTAGCAAATTTTACACCTATATATCAGTAGCTGTTGGCCAACTTGAAATAATCTTTTCTTTTTCCAGTCTGAGAATACAGAAAATAGAATAAGCCAATTAATATTTCTTCAGGCAAAGCAACAGGAGAATGCAACAAACTGCATTCAATCAGTTGCCCTATATATAATCATCACCAATCTTAAAGTAAGAGAAACAAACAAAAACCATATTCCTCACAAAATAAGAAGCCACCTGCTCTGCTTGTTTTTCCAGTACATACAATGTTCATTTATTTGATCATTTGTGAGCAATCACCGCATTGTGCATAAAATGTATGCTAAGCTGTGATGGTAAAATAACAGCTTGTTGATGATACCTTTTGCAACCAGGTGTTTTCTTCACTCATTATTAGTGTCTGGCGTGAGGGAGAATGGGGAAATAACAGTCTAGATAATATTCCAGGTGGGGCCTGGCAACTCTAAGGGCGGGGGTGGGGGGGTAGTTAAAACTGCAGAAAAAAGTGAGATGAATTTTTACCAATGAGAAATTAGACTGGCCATAAACTGAGCTGGTTTCAGATAAATTGGCATAGAGCCAGAACAACCTCCATTCTCAAAGCCAGCCAAAACATGCAAGCACACTAGTCCAGATCCTCAATCAGCCTTTATAACAGCTGCAGAAATCAAATAAGTCATGCTATTCTGAGAGCAAGCCAGTCTGATATAGAGGTTAAGATATCAATCTAGAAACCTGGAGACTGAGTCCCACCTTAGGCATGAAGCCAGCTGGATGATGTTAGGCCAGTCACTGTCAGCCCTAGGAAATAGACAAGGGCAAACTACTTCTGAAAACCTTGCGAGGAAAACTGCAGGGTCTGGTCCAGGCAGTTGCTAGGAGTTAATGCTGACTTGAAGTCACAAAAAAAATGGGATTGAGAAGCAAAAGCACAGTAGTTTTCTGTCCCTTGTCATTTTGAATGGCTTGGTGTATATTCTACCGTAGTAAGCATGTAACTTAATATTTCAACGAAATTGTAGACAAATGCACTATATATACTTGTGGAAAGGGCCATCCACAAATGAACCAAGCTTCAGATTTTTAACCAAAATATGAAAAAAATGGTCCATAAACTGAATTTTTCATGTTTTTCAATATATTCTAAAGGCCTTCACTTATTTTCATATTTTGTATCAATAAATGTTTTCTAGGACAGATTCCATTTCAAATGTTTACAATTGTCTTATCCACAGATGGGTTATTTTTCATGGTATTTTGGTTTGGCTTATGTGCAGGTATATACAGGTACTTTAGCAAAGATTACCATATAATACCATATATGAGGATAAGATGAGCCGAAATTGGGGGGGGTACTTTGGGACCTAAAATTCTTGGCTTATCCATGAATATCTACAGTACCAGTTTTTAAATATTTTATTAAATTCTTGCTTCTGTG